GATTAACCTACTTCTACGGCTCAGCAATGAGCTGCGACATTAGGTCTTATAAAGACTGTGGCACTTGTTACGGCTCAGCAATGAGCTGCGACATTAGGTCTTATAAAGACTATGGCAAGGGCCACTCCTACGGATTAACCTACTTGTTACGGCTCAGCAATGTGGTGCGACATTAGGTCTTATAAAGACTATGGCAAGGGCCACTCCTACGGATTAACCTACTTGTTACGGCTCAGCAATGAGCTGCGACATTAGGTCTTATAAAGACTGTGGCAAGGGCCACTCCTACGGATTAACCTACTTGTCACGGCCCAACAATGAGCTGCGACATTAGTCTGTGACAAGGGCCATTCCTACGGATGAACCTCCTCGTTACGGATCGATCCCTTCGCTTCGCTGTGTGCTAGTGTGGTTCAGTCGAGAGTTTGTTGTCAAAATATTTGGCCTTGCGTTGAGACTGAGTTCACTTCGATCGATCTAGTTCGCCGAATAAATCATCGAGTCGATAACGTTGGCATGGTTCTGAATCGTTTTTTTGGGAAAGTTAGAGCCACGAATCGTGGCCTACGACTGGTAGTTGTCATTGACAACTTGCCCATACCATGACGGTATTACCATCTCAGTCTTTTTTCTCGGCAAACACCCGGAGCTCACAGAGTGGCTCGAGATAATGATACAATACTCGTTTCATTCGTATGAAAAAAGCGTGTCGTAAATTACGACTCGTAATCTCAGTCTTATAATGAACATCCTTTAGGAATACCCTTCGTTAAAAAAATGAAACCTGTCGAACTCCGTCAGGCTGCGCCCCCAGTCTCCCCGGCAGCGGAGATGCTGAATGTCTTGGGTGTTCCGGTTGATATCGGGCCTTGTCTCGTTGACTGGCTCACCAGAGATTACCTAGATCGACTCGAGTTGATTTCGAAGATAAGTGAGAGCGACTGGAAGTCTCTCATCGAAACTAACTTGGCGCTTCAAGAAGTTGACGTGGGCAGAGACTTCCCACGGCTCGATCCTGCTCGAGCACAAGCAGCCAAGTTGTTCGGGCTGGCTATGTCTGACGAGACTCGTCGTGTGCTAGAACAAGGATACGCGCAGACGAAAGCTGCTACGGCCTCACCGGATTATGGTGCATTGAATTCGGTAAGAACGGCCAATGCGACACTCGGCTACATTAGTCCTGACCTCCTCCCCGATGTGAGAGTCTTGAACAATATGATTCAGTCGCCTGCAGCTTACGTTGAATTCAAGAACTTGCAGTCCCATGCGAGTCCCATGCAGGGACGGCAACGAAGCAACGCATCCGGCCCACGGTAACTGGGTCAGTAGTAGTGGTTTTAGAGGAGGTGAAAGAGGGCAAGGACAAAGAGAATCCTACCCCCAGGTTCAGCATGGGCAAGTGGATGATGCAGTTCGCCAGATATTCAACTGCACTTATGGTCGTAGATCCTGAGTGCGCTCAGAATAGCACCGTATTTTCGAGGTATCAACTAGAGATTGGCTATTTGGCTGATGAGTCATCTTGTCGCGATGCTCTTGAGGCCGACGCTAAGTATCGAATGTCTATCTCGAAGCGAGTTATGTCGGGTATTCCTCTGTGGAGCTGCTTTACCGAGGGTCAGT